GCCGGTCTGGACGCAGAGGCTAGAGGAAAAATCCTCTGCCCCCGTCGGGGATCGAACCCCGGTCGTCCAGCCAGTAGCTAGTCACTATAACGACTGAGCTATCCCGGTAGAACGTAAATGCTCTTAAAATAAGGCCAGCTGGGACAGCATGATTTGAGGATTGTCATATACGTCGTATTTCTTGTTTTAATTTTTTTTAGTTTTATAATTTTATTTTACTCATTTTTTATTTTTTATTTTTGTTCAACGGAATTAAATCTCTGCAGTTGTTTTGTTCACACCGCCGTGATTATTAATTAGCTGCCGTCTGAAAGTTGTCCCGAAACATAAAAAAGTAGCCAACAACACTGACATTGTCTTCCATTTTTCCCCACTTATGACCAAGTGACGCTGTATTTTTATTACAGCACCGATGACAATTTCTGTTAGTGTCTGGGCCTTTCATTTTAATAACTGTGACAACGATTTGTAAAAACTTAACTGTTTTAACTGAGAGTAAGGGTTCAACAGAATTTCTCTTTTAGAATTGCACTAGCTTTGTATAAAACCAATGCGTAGGCTATAAAAAATTCCTGGCCGAAATCTACAACATTGTGATATAACAAGAAAAATGTGTCCTTCAAAATTGGGGTACACGTATTTTCCAAATATGTTCTTTGCGATAAACCTAGGTCTTCCGATAAAAATTTTATATGCATTTCTCATCTATCTAATGCATGCTAATTACACCCTTCACCTGATCAATTATGAAGCCCCTCGTCATACAGAATTCTTCATCCTCACATTACGTCTCCCCCATTATGCCCAAATATTCTCCACAACTCCCTTTTTTTAACATCAATCTATGCAGGTAGCCTACCGGCAGCGATTTTTAATATTATGTCAAGTAATCTTCTAGTCGCATACTAACACTTCAGAATACCAGCATCCAAACTGACATTTCTAACAGTTAGATTCTAAAATCCTATACTCTCAATCATCACCAACTACAAAAAAAAAAAAAAGCTAATTCCTCAGGTACGTTATGCAAAGTGTTATAAAAACACAGAAAAAGCCATCAAACTGACGTAAAATATCTTCGAGCAGAAAAGCTTGTTGTAGTTCTTTGGCCCTTACTCACTTTTTACATCAATTCAAGGTAGGCCACATCTAAACCACGTGATAACACGTGTATAACTTTCCCCGCGTTGTGCAACGCGTCGGAGTGGTGAAGCCACACGTGTAAGCCACAAATCGCCAACAAGGACACCACATTCTCCTCTCTTCGAGGGCCTGATGCACCATACCACCCCCCCTCCCCGCAATCTGGCTTAGGAGAGCAGTAACCGTGAATTGGACAGACAGCCAACAGGCCTCAGCTGTCTCCTCCTAAAACACTTCTAAGTGACAGCATAGGAGGCACGAGGACAATCAGCTCTTGGCTGTAGCTGTATTCCCAGTACGATCTGAAAAACGCGAAAAGTAAAGAATCTGCAAGAATGAATTTCATTGGCAGACGTTGGCAATACTCTACTTTGAAAAAAAAACTGGATAGGGGACCGAAAACTGAACATCTGTGGTTCCGTGATCCTAAATTTGAATACACAAGTATGCTAAGTAACCGCCTGTTTCTGTGTGTAGATGTATGTATGTGCAAACGTAAGTTAAGAATAATTATATTAAAATAAATTATCTTAAGTGACACTTCCTTTAAGACTACTGGCTAGAACTTCGAATTCATCGTCGCTAAATAACTATCAAACTCCTCTGGACAACGTCATTCCTTCGTGAAAAGCTACTAGTCTCTCAGCCAATGAAGGAACATGATAGAGGTTTTCATTATGTAATTTTCTGCACACTCCTGTTCCTGTGTTTTTCTTTTTTAGTCCTAAATATTCTTCTCAGAGCCGTGTTATCAAGTACCCTCAATCCATGTTCTTCCCCTGTACGAGAGACACGATATGTCTCGTAGAATGTGTACAAAATTTCTCTACGCTTTTCATACACACGAGTCATCTTTCGTTTCCCGTGTGTTGTCCTACACAGCAGTCAAATGCTTCCTCGTGTATTTCAATGACTGGGAAGAAGTTCTGCAGTAGCCTACCTTTCATGACTGTAATTCACAGTGCTCGAATTTCGGTCCGGAGTTTCTCGTTACTTTCCACAAACAGGCTCTGACATTCCTTCCACGCTTTTTCATACATACATACATCTTAGCATTCTACTCTAGGTATGATCAGGGCTGTTCTACATATTCACCGTTAAATGAACTAAGAATAGTTTATATGACAATTAAACTTGGACTAATGGAACAAATACGTTCGAAAAATTCAAGCAGAGGGAATGGATTTCTTTACATGCCAGTGCATGTACCTAATTCGACAAAATTGATATAAGAATGAAGGTATAGGCTTATAGAAGAATGTAAATTGGTGTTCCATAAACAGAAACAGTTATTTGACCCATTTTAATTGTTCCTTACTACAAACAAAAATACGTGGGGCTGAAAAACCAGGCAAGGTATGTTCCAACCACTTTCGTCCACATCGCTGTAATCATAATGCAAACGTATCTGTAACCTCTGACGATATTCGTGGGCATTAACTGGTATTATATATGGACAACTAATATTACAAAGAATCTATTTTGTTGTTTAAGAATTATTGAAGACCATAAACATACGTACCTGGTCGTATGTGTCATTTCAATCTGTCGTCTTCAGAAGCAAAATCAGAAGTTTCAAAACACATCACATTTTCTGCGTTGAACAAAATGGCAACACACATCACCTGACAGTCGAATAAGAACGGCACGGTTGAAGCTACTAGAGCGCCCTCTCTTTCCCCGAAACTACTAGAAGCCTCTCTCTCCACCCCTCCACTCCCCTCAACAGCCCTTATACACAGTTCGCAATATTATGCTTCTCTGTGCTACTTGACTGTTTATTATTTGATATAATGGGTTCCGCTTCTGACTATAGGAAAGTCTCATGATATTATCTTATACGTGGTAGACATCGTGCGACTTGCAAAGCAACTTAAAATTATATGATGTCTTTTGGGTTGTAGAGCCGTGTGGTCTGGTACAGGTCTACCAACGTTTGAAAGGTCTTCGCTGCCTCCATCAATGACCTGATGTTGAAAGCAGCAAGAACCTCTGAAACGTCTGCGAACTTATACCAGACTACATGGCGCTACAACCCAAAAGACAGCCAAGCCACCAACTCAACGGCGTGAGAACCTCAAATCCAATTTTCAGAAAGTCTGCAGAAACTAGGTATATTTTTTATCTGGAAAAAAATAAGCCTAAGGTAATCTGAATACTTCTCTTCTTTTATGCCCCTTGGCGTATATGGTTTATTATACATTAATGAATTCAAAATGAAAGAACACTCTACAACCGAGACGCCTGTGGTTCTGCTCACTTGTTTTTCACTAATGTCTAGCGAATTAAAGGGAAATTTTTCCCGCTGTCTCCTCGCCTCGTGTAAGGAGTACGGTATATTTTTCTCCTGGCTCTTCGCCTCGTGTGAGCAATACGGGATATTTTCCTACTGGCTCTTCGCCTCGTGTGAGCAGTACGGGATGTTTAGCCATCAACAATTGAATGTTCCATAGAAAGTAAGCAAGTCTTCTGTCCTGACGTTAGGAACGAAATCCTATTTTACTGCAGTTTCAGCGTGTAGACCCACTGTAAATAATCGAATGTATACAAATGGTCTCACTTGATCAGAACAAAGAATTTTAACGGACAATGGGGATTTCTTCGTCGAAAAACAAAAGAAACCTGAAGAATTACACTTGTATTGTGCCGAATCCATTTGTGCCTAAATAAATAACTTACTTTAAAAGTGAATTTCTGAGTTCAAAATGGATGATAGAAAATAGGAATGTTACGTATTTGGAAATATATATATAAACAAAAAAGAATGTTTCACCAGACAAAGTTTATTCTGACGACCTCAACAAACTCCCAAGCTTACAAAATTACATACAAGCACACACCATAATTAATGGAGAAATTCTTTTTGCAGAAGCGATGATGTTTTATGTACACTTCCACATAAAGATTTCCCCCATTTTCACTGGGACTGTAAAATGACTTACTACATAACCAGAAAGATGTTGAAGTAGAAGATAATTAGTCGTAACTACATCGCTACAAGTTGTATGTACCATCCTGACCAAGCAACCATTACGAAATTCAAAGACCACGGATCTGAGAGGTTGCTTGTTCGGTGTTGGAAAATAAATGCAAGGAGGGACACGGAAGGAAACGACACTCAATTGTATTGGATGGTTTTAAAAATTTCGTTTTTTCTTCAGCTAACTACATCAATGTAACGAACCGATTCACACAGCTATACCACGCCACAAAAAAATATTTTGTGGC